CGGCAGCAGCCGCTCCGTGGGGGCAGCCGTATCAGCACCCTCAGCCGAGTGTGGGCATTTACATCTTGAGAGCTGCTCTGAGAACGCTTGCACAGAGAAAACTAGCTACAAATAATTAAGCATGACTTTCAATGCCTTCCCCATAAAGCGGGTTGCCTTTTATCCTTTTATTCACCTGAATTATACTGAACACATGGGTGAATGGCACCGGAATCTTCTGCCCCAAGAGCCGGGACGAGCGCACACGAAAACCAGGGGCAGAACTCGAAACCAAGCCCCAAAGCACCACGTCATACCTAAAGCATCGCAACTGGGATTTATTTCAAAAACCTTTAAAAAACAAAAGCAGAATAAAACCAAAATACAGAGGTAAGCTGTGTTTGCCCACACTTACACATTACAGTTACTGGGAACCTGCACATTAGGTTGGTGACACTTGTAAACACTTGTAAATACAGTGTTCACACACACTATGCAATTGCTCTCTAAGGGCAACAACTCCTTCCTCCACCGCAGGGGTCTCAGTAGACATAGATGCTTTCAGAAAAAAAAAGAAGTTATTGTATGCAAAATCCACTTGTATTTAAAGTTTTATTAAACTTTGGATTATTGGGTTTACTAAACTTTGGCAAGTGGATACAATTTGCATTTAATTTTGGTTAAATTTATAGTGAGTTTTAAGAAAGGATCAATTCCTGTTGTCCTCCCGGCTTTCCCTTTCCTCGTCTCGTCATTTCTAGCATGGAATTTGCCCAGAAATCACTAAGAAAGCAGAACGATGGGGGCGGGTAGCGGACAGTGATTGCTGTGGGGCTGCAGCAGACAGCTGGGCTGGAACGAGTCTGGGTGGAAGAGGGATGAAGTGCAGAGTGAGGACGGCAAAATGGGCACTTGGTTGGGATCAAGTTCGGTGAAACCCACCTTGTAGAATCTGGATAAAAAGAAAAAAGCTTTTTTTTTTCCACTAAGCTATTCCGAAAGCCTTTCGACGCCTGTCCAGGTCGGCAGCGTTTCAGAAAAGCTGTTATTGGTAAAGAACAGCCGCTGAGCGCGGGGCCGGCGGAGCCGCCCGCCCCTCCACACAGCGCGACATGGCGGCAGGGGCGGGGGGGGGCG